AAAAAAAAAAAAAAAGAAAAAGAAAGTGGCTTTGACCTTCACTATACTCTCAAGAGGAATTTTCATTTATTTTTAGTGCTTAATGACATGTTATACCCTCATTTCCTCTTCTAGGAAGAATTCCAAAGTCGTGTTGTAGGTCGAAGTCGAGGATATTTTTTATTCAGGGTATGTAATTGTTTTACAATCAATCAATATAAAAATTGAAAAATACTTTATGAATTTGTTTAATTAACTTATGCTTTGAAGTTATTCGTAGATTTGTGGCATCAGGTGTTACAGTCTGACATTCACTGTGCCACTGCCTTACTGCTTCAACACCATCCGACACCACAGCATCTCTGATCCCTGCTCTGATCCACTACTCATGTTTGTAAATACCCAAATAACATTCACCTATTTGACAAAAAATCATGACACTTTATTTGTAGGAAATAAATGACTTAGGGATGTATTATTCCTTACATTCTAAGGAAAGATCTACTGAATTTTTGACTCCATAGATCGGAAGAGTTATGATACTTTTACAAGTTCTTAAAATTAAAAGAATAAACTACAATACAGGCTGTAAGTAGACAAAATTTTGTGATTACATTTATGATTTTGTATGTCTACATAGTCTATAAAATGTGAATTTCTTTTTAGGCACCTATACTTTATAAAGTATTTCCATCTTTAATATATTACCAGAAAATTCTAATTAATTCATACAACAGGTATTTATTGAACTTCTACTGGGTTCTTGGCAGTATACCAAGGGCTGGGAATATAAAGACAGATAGGACTCCATTCCTACACTCTAGAAGTATATAGCCTAATGGAGAAAATACTTAAGTAAACAAATATAAAGTACTGTATTAAATGCACCTTCAGTCCAGGGGCTATGGCTCCCTAAAGAAAAGCTTTTAACTCAAGCTGGGGAATGGAGGAGCTACAGAGAAAGGTTCATGGACAGAATCCTAAATTATTGACAGGAATTGGTTGATGAAATATTTAGTTAAGGCTCGGCGCCTGTGGCTCAAGTGGCTAAGGCGCCAGCCACATACACCTAAGGTGGCGGGTTCGAATCCAGCCCGGACCGCCAAACAACAATGATGGCTGCAACCAAAAAATAGCCGGGCATTGTGGCGGGCGCCTGTTGTCCCAGCTACTTGGGAGG